AGTTTCACTAGTGCTTTTTAAACACTCTGGTCTAAACAATCTGGCCATCGATTGCAATATGATTGATTGCTCTGCATACATCCTGTTTTTTTAGACTCCCCCCTAAATAGTAGTGAGTGGCAACCCCTTGAGAAAGGATATTTGTCTGTAACCTGTTACGGGGTTTTTATGTTCTTCTGTATGTACGAAATACATCGTGGTATCAGACTTTGTTATAACTACTTAATTAAATTTAATTTTTAATTTGCTTTAAACATGATCTGTTACAAAAGACAATATAAACCACTTTAATATTCATGAAGTTTCCCCAAACCTGTCAAGTTAGTGTCACAGTATTTTCTTGCTTTTTCTTCTCTTTTTTTTTCTTTTTCTCCCCCTTATTTTCCTTTTTTTTCTTTTTTTTGCTTCTGACTGCCTGTACCTGACACTGAGTTTGTGAGGAACCAAAACATCAGACTCCTTGCCTATCTGTCCATAAGCTGCGACGTCTAGCAGTTATTTTCTCAGGATTTGCCATCTTTTGGTCTCATACATTTCTTCTATGTTCGCCCCTACGTTTCCACGATCAAGTAATAAACAGCACAGAAATCACACAAATATTTTAAACCCGGCGTACGTTGTACCGTAGTGTTGCAATGATGTAAACATTCCTTACCAGTTATTAAACCTTGAATCTAATGCTCTGTGCCCACTCTCCACTAACTCTAAGGTATTTCGAGGCGTGCCTTTTCAAACAAGAAGTTGTGAGGAAAATCGTTGCTGGGAAACGGACTCACCGCGCGCCGGAGGCGGAGCGGGGAGGGGCAGCCCCACCCTGCCGCGGAGAGCCACGGCTCCCTTCCAATCGCGCCGCCTCGCCGAGCCGGGAGGCGGCAGCGGAGGCGCACCTTCCTTCGCTGACTGGCCTCCAACTGCAGCGCGTCACCAGGAGGCGGGGAGCGCTCGGACTGGCTGGGAGGGAGCAGGGAGCCTGGCGGCGATTGGCCCGCGCCGGTCACGTGGCGCTGGTGGGGCCGTGACGCCCGCGGTGGCGGAGGGGCTCGGCTTGTCAGGTAGGTAGGTGCCGTGCGCGGCGCGGCGGCGTCGCCCCTGGTGCCCGCGCCCCGGCAGCGGCGCCCGGGCC